AGGGAGGGAGGAGGAGGCAGCCAGGGCGAGCCGCGCAAAACTCGATGTTCTAGATGAAAAACTCTAATGATTTTTAATTCAATATTGACACCTCCGCACCTCGCCGCGGCCGCGGAAGGCTCCAATGGAAAACTCCGCTTTTATAGCGCTGGAGGAGCGGAATCGTAAAATCCTTAACGGCTTTTTATGTCGTGCGGTATAAACAACAACAACATCCCCGGCTTTATGGCGTTTTATAGTTTGTTAAACAGTTTACAGCCTTTTTTGGGGCTATTACAAACGCAATTCCCTTCATGCGATAGTTAAACCTTTATCAATAATAAGGAAATTGATCATTAAAATGTTAAATATGACTACCTCGTTTGTTTTAAAATATGTTTAGGGTAAGAAGCTGTATGATTTGATAACTTGTATTAAAATACCAATTACATTTATAGGACCTTTTAAAACTGGTAGCAATTAAATCGTGTTCTTTTACAGTTTTCCAAAGCGACCCTGACATTTAAAAAGGCTAAAACTGCCTCGTTAAAATTTCGAAATTAACGACAGCCAGCGCTCCTCTTTAATTTTCCAACACTCCCCAAAAATCAATCTTTTGGGTGGTCTAGGTACGTGATTTGTTGTGAGGCGAGCGATATCTCATTAATGTAGGTAGTTAAACATATTTAATCCGTATATTCACCCCACCTCCTTCTCCCTTCCCCTCTCCCTCCCTCTCCCGCTCCCCCTCGCTCGCTTTTCCTTCTTTATTCTCTCACACTCTTCCTTTCACAATCATGCGGTGCAGAGTCCGTGTGGAGTAAGGAGAAGCCAATAGGATGAGGTTTTGGTAATAGATGCAAATGATCATGAAAAGACACTGCAAAATATGAAACAACTCATTTGCGCTGAAGTAAATCACTGAAAACTGTTTATGAACTGGCATCTCTTCTTGGAAATGTAAAGCGAGAACTCTTTAAGTGGCGATTTTTTTTTTTTTTTTTTTTTTTTTTTTTTTTTTGGTAAGGGGTGGGGGGGGAGGAAAGAATTCAATATCATGCAGGCTTAGAGTTTTGATTATATCCTCCTTTTATATTCCTGGAAATCACAAAGTGTCGTTGCTTAGCATCTTAGCGCTTTCTTTTTTTTTTTTTTTTTATTAATTTTTTTTTTTTTTTTTTTTTTGTTGGCTAATAGATTCCCGTGGTTTGGTTTGTTGTTGTTGTGGAGGTGATTTTTTTTTTTAATATATTTTTTTAATATAATTTTTTAATATAATTTTTTTTTTAATATATTTTTTTTTTCCTGGGGAAGACAAAAAAAAAAGAAGGAAAACAACAACAACAACAACAACAACAACAAAAAAAAACAACCCTCAAACAACAAACCTCTTATTGAAATTAAAATGAGCTCCTATTTTGTCAACTCACTCTTCTCCAAATACAAAACCGGCGACTCCCTGCGCCCCAATTATTATGACTGTGGCTTCGCTCAGGATCTGGGGGGCAGACCCACCGTGGTGTACGGACCCAGCGCGGGGGGCACCTTCCAGCACCCACCCCAAATCCAGGAATTCTACCACGGAGCCTCGTCTCTCTCCAGCTCCCCGTACCAGCAGAACCCGTGCGCCGTGGCTTGCCACGGGGACCCCGGCAACTTCTACGGCTACGAGCCCCTGCAGAGGCAGAGCCTGTTCGGGGCGCAGGAGCCCGAGCTGGTGCAGTACACCGACTGCAAACTCGCCGCCAGCGGCCTCGGAGAGGAGGCGGAGAGCTCCGAGCAGAGCCCTTCTCCCACCCAGCTCTTCCCCTGGATGCGACCGCAAGGTGAGGAGAAAACGGGAAGGACGCCCCCAGAAAGTCGCCCCCCACCTCTCCTCCCCAAGTCCGGCCACCCCCTTTGGGGTTTTTTTTTTTGTTATCGTTTCTTTTTTTTTCACCCTCTTTCCTGCCCCTCTCTCTGTCTTTGCTCGCTTTCTTTCTTTCGCTGCCTTTTTCTTCCCCCCGGTGACTGTATTTTACTGCTTTATGGGGGTAAACTTTTGCACTTGTAAATTGCTTTATAGTTTAATTACCCTGAAGGAGACCTTTTCTTCTGGGGGCTGAGCGAGCCGGGCTTTCTGTGGAAGGAAGCGTCCTTAAAGTTTATGGCACTTTTATAGCCTTAAAAAGCCTCTTCATTTTTGTTTGGGGCTGGATTCGGGATCGTGCTGCCGCCTCTCTCCGGGGCTTTTCACTCGTTTGAAATTTGGGGGGTTTTGGGGGTTTTATTTTGGG